GACCGCGTTTGCCAATTTGAGACACCTATGGCGTCAGAATGGTTTATTCCGAACCTGAAGAGACATGTGTATCAAGCTACATTGCGGGGTGTTTTGTTGTATGGCTGTGAGGCTTGGTCTACACGAGCAGCGGAACTGAGACGTCTTAAAATGTTCGACAATTGTTGTCTAAGAACCATAGCTCATGTGGGTCGGTGTCGGCGAATCCATAACGAGGCAGTTAGAAGACGAGTTTTCGGTTGTGCAACGGGTACTTCGGTTGAATAATGTGTCCAGCACCAGAGGCTGCGTTGGTTGGGACATGTGTTGCGTATGCCGAACCATCGTTTGCTGAAGAGAGTGTTGTTTTCCACGCCCGATTCAAAGTGGCGTAAACACCTTGACCTGGCAGAGGAGTATGAAGGAGATCACGAAACGCTTGGGTGCTGTCGGTGCTACTCGCCTTCCAGGATGGGGGCCGCGTGATCCTCACTGTGCCTGGTTGGAGACACTACAAGATATGGCTGCCAACCGATGTCAGTGGCATTTTTGTTGTCAGTTCCTATCCAGATCGCCTGAGTGAATAGACTGGAGATAAAGGTACCCCGGAATATTCGTAGTAAGCTAGCACTAAGTCCCTTCCCCGCCCACCTTTACTATTTTCTTTACAATAAGTCTTAAGTAAATGATGGTTGTAAGGCAGTAAAGTATCGGTGTTGAACACTGATGTCGTGCTGTTGGTGATGAAGATGAAGACGATGATGATTAGCAGCGCTTAACAAAAACAAATTCTGTGACAACCGTAAGAACACAGTGACCATTTCAACGTACTAGATTGTAGGCGGAAAGATTTTCTGAAACGGGATTCTTTATGGTTATCACTGAACTGTATCTGATGTCGGCATACTAATAAAGCCAGTGCCTTAAAACTTCAGTGCTTTCTGTGGAGGATGGATACCAATATACAACAGCTGAGAAGGCGAATGCGTAAATCCATTGGGATAATCAAAACAAAAGGGTAGTTACAATATTAAAAGTCCAGGTGCGATAAGCCAAGTAGGTCTTTTAGGAGATAAAGACGATGTATTGGGGCTAAACTAACTGGACTGGATGAGCAAGCTTCTTTTGGCCTTTGTCAACCTTATCATCCCTTCAGTGCTCAGCTGTATTGCCACTCGAATAAATTGTGAGGGTTGAACTACAGTCAGTTTGCGGAAGCTTAAGCAGAAACCTTCCGTGTACCCTGGTTTGTTTTGAGCCACAAATGTTTTGGTCAGTAAGGTCTTGGCCTCATCACCAGGCTATCATGAACTGGCCCCTCTGATTTTCAGGCAGAAAGCAACTGACGCAGGATACAAGAAGCATCTGTGTTGGTGACAGCTACAAATCTCATCGTTTTCTTATAGTGTTATTTGAATTTAGTTTTTTGAAACTTCCCATGAACTCAGCCGAATTATTTGAGACTGCTCTTTACTTGCATTGCATTTTGTCTTTGCTGGCCATTTTTCGAGTATTTACCCCCTAATCAATTTTAGGAAGACAATTGTTTCTTTTTTACACTTAGTGTAGACTTGTAAATATTTATCTTCCATTCTACCTGAGGAGTAGGCCTTCATGTAACGCATTTTAGATTCGGTCGGTGGAGGAAGTCTATAGATAAATCAGAATTTTTCAGAATAAACATGTTTTAGTAGTAAACGGTCTTATACCACTCAATAGCCTAATTGCGCAACAATGGATGGAAAAGATGAAGTTTCCTTCGTCAATAAGGTAGAAAACTCATGTCATGAAAGGGCGGACGTGTTTACGCCTATGCATTCTTTGTGTAGTACGCAAAAATTTAACCGTACCTATATTTATTTGGGTCCGCTTGTTTTGAGGCACAATTATAAACAGTCGCTTATTTGTTCTACAGCACTATGCTTCTTTGACCGTTTATTAGAAGCTTCGCCTTTGAAACGTCAAGTACACATGAATTTGTGGAGCTAATCACTGACATTTCTACGCTGTAAAAAATGTTTAATCTCCTTGGGAGGAAATATGTCGATATTTTTGGGGAAGTCTGAGCATCTGATATTCTCACAACACTCTGTCGCTTTCAAAAACTTAGGTAAGGCCTGTTGCTTTTGTAAGTTATTTGGGGCGGCGAAATATAATAGGGTAACACACTTTACATTGAGTGTTCTGCAGCGTTTCAAACTCCACGAAAATGCTTAACATTGGAGGAGTCATCCAGGGATTTTCAATTGGTTGTATATATTTCCCCTACAAACTGAAGAATAAATCGTTGTCTTTAGTTTTGGTGTTTATTAAAAAGACAGAAAAAGGAGAAAGAGAGAAGAAGAGAAAAAAGAAAATAAGTCAGTAAAGGGAGGTGGATGGGCAGAGTTCAGTAGATATTGGATAGCAGCCACTATTTGCCTGGTACAAAACAGATAGATAATAAGCAAGTCTAAGAATCGGAAATGACTTGAAGACTGTTATTTCTACTCACAGGTAGATATCAAGTTTTCATAACTTCAGGTTCCGTTCACAAACACGCTAGTGACTTAATCCCAGACGGCCCTTTTGGATTACTGTACTGAATTACCACTTTGAAGTTTTGGCGTCCCATCAATCATCATTAATCAGCAATACTGAAATACGGTATTCTTGTCTTTATCCTTACAGTAAGCTACTGCTAGACATTCTTTTAACTCATTTTCTATTTTGTCGCTGTACTCGCCAATGAAGTTGCATTTGAAAACGAATATTTGCAAACTCTCACATTTGGTTCGAACAATTCGTCCTTAAAATGAGCATCTGGGGTATAATATTAAGCAGCTATATACCTTAATCACTCTTTCTCTTAAGCTCAACATGGAAGCAAAAGGTTTAAAATGGCCATACACGTGCACACGTTTGAGTTAAATGGTAGTTAGATAGCGCCAATTTTCTAGTCACGAACTTCTGCATGGTCTTCAGGAAGGAGACGCCTCCGAAACACCCTTATTTAGTTCTTGGTCTGTTCACCAAGCCCGGCAGCTGGATTGCAGACATTTAATTACCAATAGAGATGAAGTCGTCAGAGCGGGGTGAGCGACGATTTCACCAGGATTGGTGGTAAAACGTTTACAGTCCAACTGCCAAGATAGGTGAACAGATCATCAATCAAGTAGCGCGCCCAAGATCCCTATATTCCGCAACATCGCCACCCTTACAAAATGACTGATTTTTCTTCAAAAGAACTGTATAAAGAGGTGTGAACCAATTCAATAACACCGGTGTGTTTTGGAAAGATGCTTAAATCATATATAACCTTTCAGTAAGTTTGTAAGAGGCTTAATTCGTATTGCGACGAAGCAACCCAGACTTGCGTTCGTGTGAAGTTAAATCTTGGAAGTCTTTCAGTGCAGATACTGTGGTGTTCCAACAGCCAGCGACCTACGGGATGACACGCTTCAGTGATCTCTAGGAGCAACTACTTGTTTGATGGAACTAGGATTAGTATTCTGGCTAGTTTTGGGCCAATCATTCTCTAAAAGATCATAACATTAATTCATAAGCAAACATTTGACAGTTTTCGAACAAGTATGCTGTTGGTTGAATTTTCCAGGTATTCTCAAGCAATTGCTTCCACTTAAAGTCTCTGAATGTGTGACTTGCTTTGTTTGTAAAATGTGCTTGTTACTTTTGTTCTCTGTGTGCTAGTTTTCATGTTGAATATATGCCTTTTAATGGGCGGTTGGATTTCACTTATTTCATATATTCCGAGCAGCATAGGAAGCTGAGAACAGGCTGGCGAACAGGAAGTTGATGCTGAATTATCTACTACTTATTAGGGGGAAAGAACCAGGTAATTCCGTTTGAAGAAAGTACTATCACTGTTCATAGTTGTCATTTTGCAGCCGGGCAAACGTTTCCTTCTCCACCAACGTTTGAATGTTTCTACTTGGTAGAAGTATCCACTATTAGCTAACTGACATCAGCAGAAAGATACCCAACCGCGTGATAGTTTAATGAATTCTCCCGCATTATCAGTTCAGGATACATGACACTAATGGTTTTACTGACAGGAAATTAACGGAGGCACACTCGTTCAGGGGTGCAAGCCAGGGAAATCTGATCAGAAGTTTGAGTCAAATTAATGGTGCCCTCCGTGTAGTGTATCACCCTATAAGTTTTTTTCTGCATTAACGCCTAGTGTTAACACGCCATAAACTAAAACGTTGTAACGGCACATAGGAAAGCGCAGCTTAATTGATTCTAAGGTATTTTGCTTCAGGTTTACTGGGTTGGTTTGCCAACAAACGGTGGATGGGCAGATTTTTTCACCAGGTGGCCAATTACCATTTACCCTGTTAAAAACCCGTTTTGAGAAATTCCCCCATTTAACATTCTTTGGAGGGTTTGTTTTCAGATTAATTCGGGCCATGATTTGGAAACAATTAGGACAAATATACGATAAATCAAAGGTTTATAAATTGTGCATCACAAGTGACTGGTTGGTGTAGTTATTTTTTGCGTGGCAAAGCCTTTCAAGTTTCACTACGTCCAACAGTGCTTTGTGATTGTGGAAACTGTCGTTATATGATTGGATAATCAGCTGCGATCAGATATTTTTATTGGAGTAGTCTATTCAGACAGACCAGAAATTGGTGAACTCTTCTGAATCTAGCTTCAGAATCGTTCGTAGGACTTGTGCGGTTGGGGAAAATCATTTGCCATTTATTCTACACCTCTATGGTTCACTCAGTCGGTTGCTTCTGGGTTAGCGATATTATTGTGCCTTGTATAATGCTTGCGGGTTATAGGAGGAAATGCGGATGCCCCATCGAAGACTTGTAATCATTAGCGCTCCGAAGTAAATGAGGGTAATTTTGTAGCTTAAGCCAAAATAAACAGCCACATAAAGTGGTCGCAAAAACGTCTTGAAGCTTACCGTAGTGGGAGCCTATGAACAGATCTGTATTGATTTACTCGTTAGATTACTGATTTTCGGTCTAGTTGACCAAAACAGTTTTGACGCGCAACATCCTTTTTAACTAAATTAGATGCTTTCCACGCATCATCGCGTAAACACATAATGTACAATCACGATAGGTTTCGTTTCAGCAGACCGTCCTCGAGCAGTCCCATTTACACTCGCGACGTTTTTCCCGCTTTAAGCACACACATTAGATTCAACATTCCATTTAGAGGATTCAACAGTTCTTCAGTTGGTTTATCAACAGCCGGACTACTGATTTCTCACTCAAAGGGAGGTTAAAGCGTCAATCTTCAAAGCTTTGCACGACCAAATTCTGCAAGCACGATGACACTGTGTGCTAGCAGAAAGAAAGCCGCAAGTAGGGCTAAGTATGAGAGGGGCTGAAAATTTGGGATGGGGGTTGGTCGCTAAAACGTCGCCTTAAATAAGTGGCTCTCGAGTGGCTATCCGAAGTTGTGTTGTCTCTTAAAACACTATATGGTGGGGTAATTTGCCAATGGTGATCCTGAAGCCGTGGGGCCCTGTTATTGCTTGTATATCATGTAATTTAAGAGGAGGACTGGGATCAACTACCGTCGGGTTGTTCGAGGTTGAATAGGAGCACCTGGATACTCATGGTTTGATCCGAACTAGTAACTTTCCATTCAGAGCTTTACGCCTTAACTACTGAGCCAAATGGTGCTAAAAACACATGAAACGCTCGTTTGCTCCTGGAGTAACACCATGCATTAAGTGTGATGGGCTGGTCTGATATAATGGGTAGTTAGATTGCAACAAGTAATCAGCCCAACTTGGATCGGCTTGTTAACTTTGTCTAGAGAGAATGTGATGCTCGCACTAGTGTACGGGTGAGTAAGGGACAAAAAGATCACTCTTGGTGTTTTATATATATTACCACGACGGTTAATTTCCTCGCAATAAAAACAGGGTTAAAGAATGGATGTTAATATAGTGTGGTAGAATAAGACGTTTCAGGGAGTGCTGTAATCCTCTGAGTTGATGTACTGCTACAATTTACCCTACATTTCCCTTAGGGACAGCTGTTTCGTACCCCTGGGTCTAAAATAAAGCTGATCACAAGTATAGTAGGACAGGCAGGCCGTTTCAGGTAACGTTTTTTTAGGCAGAAGTCACGTTTGACAGACAAATCACCTATTTCCTTTGGGCTTAAGATTCAGAAACATTTGGAAAAATATTTAACGGTCAGCGGGTCAGTTTATCATACGTTGTATAATTTAATGGGTTTTGACTGAGCGTAAAAGGAAAGCATCCATCTCTGACGAGATCTGAAAAATATCTTATTACTTTCTTCCAAAACAAGACCAGTGCTTTTAGAAGGCTTGAATATCTTTCGAAGTATATGGTTCAGTGCCAAATGTAACGAAACTACTCAAGAGTGTCATCGTTTAGAGTAGGAATACACGTAAGTACACTTTGTGTTTTATTTAACAAAAGTCACATTTAGCCCAGTAGCAAGTTACAACGGACGGGATGTTTGTACCGTAACGAGAGTGAGACCCAAATACAGTCAGTGGGAGGTGACTACGCCCAACTCTTCCTGGATGTAATGCTTATCGCACTGGTTCGATCGCCATCTGGTCAAGCCAATGAGTGCAATGCATTTATTCAATGCCAGCAAGCCAAGTTGTGTAGACGCCATTCAACAGCCTTGTGCAGTTTAAAATAAATTGGATACTGTATTGACTGAGAGTTGACACAACCGCAATGATTTCGTCGACTTGAGACTGGGTTAAAGCTTACTCTCATTCTGAGTAAAATGTGCTATTAAAGTTGACTACAAATCATATTTCCGACAGCTTGGGTAATAGTTAAGTGGAAAATTCATTTAAATCTGTAAGAGAACCTGTTGCCACTAACGATTATTTTTTGCACAGATGGCAGGAAACTAATTTAGGAGAAATTTCACCTCTAGCACACCTGTTTTCAGGATCTTCATAAAAAATAGTTTACAGCCCACATGCTCATAAAGATTTTTGGGAAGCTGCTCGAACATGATTCATTAGTTTTTACTTTTGCAAGACGTTCCATCAATTTACACCACAAGGAGATCTTAGAAAAATGTGTCAACTTACTTTTTATTCCACAAAGAAACTTCCCTTGGAGGAGCTGGCATTAAGAGTCATTTGTTTTCATGAGATCCGTTTGATGTCCAAGTGGAATTCTGTGCTTATTTGTCAGCGTGAGCCCTAAATTTTCTCAATAATACATCAACTTGTCGAAATAAAATGAATACTTTTTAGCTTTAAAGTGGTCGCCCAAACTAGGTCGGCTTTCTGAACAAGCATTGAATAGCCAGATGGTTGCTGGAGCATGATTATCCTACTCCCAGGACATTTGAACAGAACAAACTGAGGCAGACGATATTTTTTCCAGTGAATACGAATACTTTCAGCATGGTAATTACACACTCTATTTTTACCATTTCCCATGATTAGTTCGATCCCAGCTGGTATTTGTCTATTGCCACTGAGACAGATATTCCGCTACTCACTGTGCCACAATAGCACCGAAAATGTCTGCTGTTGCTGCATTCGCAAATCAACAAATCGCACATATTCCGACATACGAGAATGTTTACTAGATTTCTAATCTTAATACCTTCCAGCACATTTTAGAGGCACTTACATCGCCTAAATATCAAAATGCGGCTTGATCACCACAGAAAGCTCAGGCCGGCCCGAGTGCTCTAGACGCACACAGACGCCAACTTCTTTGTGATGTATGTAAGTATGCATTTGAAGAGAATATTTGAAGCTAAGGTTACGGTGATCGCCTACCAGATAATAAGTTGCCACCACAACCATCCTGTTGCACTCGTACTCTATTCAAGATAACAGGGAAGCGCGGCGTAAATTACAGCTGAAATAGTAATGAGAAAACTATCATATATGAAGAACGTGTCTGAATTCGTAGCCGAAAGAGGGTTTCATATCCCACGAAGCAGCTGCTACAGTGGAGAAAAGATTTCCAAACAAAAAAACAGGACCGACAAAATGCAAGGAACAACGTTGTACACCAAACCGACTGCATGGATCGCAACAAATATAATACTCGGCAAACTGAAAGAGAACTTTCTAGATGTATGCAACGCAGCTACCAAAAGACCCACCCCGCCTACTGTCATCTTTATACATGACGAAAAGAAATAAATAAGTTCAGCCTAGGAATCAGAGGCTCGTGGGTTATGAAAGTAAAAGACATGAAAAGGAGTTCTGTAAAACTTGGTGCTCCTCAGAGAATTAATTCAACCGACATACTGCAAACAATCCTGCCTAAGAATCGCTGCGAGCGAGGGACCAGTTGTGGCAGTGAGTCAGACCCGGGTACCAGCTCAACAGGTTAAGAAGCATTACCCACTATGGGGATACCTACAAGGGGTGGGAGGACAGCAGCAGGCAAGACTCAAGGTTAATTTGGCTTCCATCGGTCAGGCACACGTCAGTCAGCAAGCCAGTGGGAACGCTCACACCAGAGAGCAGTGACCCGTCAAGGAAACGTGCGTGAACTGACTAAATATCAACCCATGCACGAACAACATCCACACATTTCTACACACAGTGCACCTCGACTGCTTTCAGCGAACAAATCAATGGCTAGGTTTAATTATATAGGGTCCAACGAATTCACCTAGAGCCAGTAGTTGTGTGTGTATTGGAGTGCAGATGAAACTCAAGCCGCTTGAAAATGTTGTTCGAATATGCGGAAAAAATATTGAGAGACTATCCTATCTGTCGGTTTGGGCAAGTACCTACCTAGGTATCTACATAATCACCGCTCAAAATAAACACGTGGCCTGCACGCAATATACCTAATGGTATTGGATGTAACTTAAGGGCTGGGAGGCTGAGGTGGCTGCTACAGGAAAAAAATATTTCCTTACATTGGGCATCCGCATACATCCTTAAGAAATCCAGCCACCATCCCGTGTGATATAAGATGAAAATTCCGACCATTGACCACAGAAATGCCTCGTAAATTGATTCTTCATTTAACCCCATCAAAAGTATCCCGTACCAGTTTGACATTCAGCCAAATGCCACTAAATTATGTTAGAGGTCTCACCAATGGTTGTATTTTTCACGGCCTGTTATATCACCCGACCAGTTCGCTTTCAAGCAATGAGATAAATATTGCGAAAATTCCCATTTATAATAAGAACACAGATGGGCTGACGAACATGTTTTCGGCAAGGTCTTTTCAAGTCATACATCTGCAAAGGTAAAGAGAGCGGTATTTAACATATTTGAATGAGTATGGTGTAAATGGACAGGGAATCGAGTGAGATGACATTGGCTACCTATCAAAGAACCATTAGTTCAGGTCGCCAATAGGATGACTTGAGCTAGTCAGCTCGGGGGGTGTTGTAGTTGTGTGTTCAGCACACGGTGCATGTGTGGGGGGAGGTGAGTTGGACCATGTTAAGTACAGCACACCAACAAAGCGTTTTTGCCGACAAAGGATCGGGTCGCGATGTCGTATGTGCAACTACTGTTCAATGGCATGTTCTACCGTCAAATTGACGGCGTTGCCATGGGCTCACCACTGGGCCCAATGCTAGCCGACATTTTCATGAGTAAACTTGAAAATGGTCCCTTAAAGGCTAACATTGAGAATATGCAACACTACTGCCGATATGTTGACGACGTCTTCGCCGTTGTTAACAACAAAGACGAATTGGAGTCACTCCAACAAGAGTTCAACAAGGCCCACACTGCCATTCAATTCACCTCGGAGGGAGAAACAGACACCCTCTGTTCTGTGTACAAAGCCATTAGAACTGTGACTTTGTGACCATGCGTTGGGGTGATTTTATAACGAAAGGATTGTTGTTGGTTTTTTCATGAGAAAAACTTTTCAAAACAGCCACTTGTATATGGATGTAGCTTCGAAGTGGCAGTTCCATACTATGGTACACCTGTGCATAAGAATCAAATTAGGCAACATTTAATCACTTCACAAGTCGAATTATATATATATATTCAGGTAGCGTAGACGGTCGTTGGCTTGTTCGCTGAGTTGGGCAATTTGATTGCAAACATTTCATCACAAATCGAGTTAACAGAATCAGTGCGTTACTGGGGAACTTAATGGTGCGTAGCGGTGGGTTAGAGGTTGTAAGTTGAATGGTATTACGTTTGTGTTAAAATACGTGCTGCTAGCCAGGGATGACCTTTGATCTCGATTAGTTGTTCGGTCGGGCGGTTCCATTGGTTGTTCTGCTATCCTTTGTCCTCATTCGCCGATGCCCACGTGACCAGTGAGTTTGGCATCCTCTGCCGTCATAATCTGGTCGGTGCCCTCCGAGTTCCGGCCTGTGAACTTTACTGATTTGACTCCAAGGAATTCCTTGTTTCTTTGTTTGTGAATCCAATATTCGGTCATCCTCGAGTGTTCCGGTTGGGATGTTGGTCTTTTGCATAAATAGGTGCGCAAATTAGATCCAGTTCGATGCACCGGTTGATCAAATCCGTCATGGAGTACCATGCTTCCAGAAATTCCCTCTCGTATCTCGTGTCTCCGTATGCCAAAATTTTTGCGTTTTCCAGATTGAATTTGTGGCCTTGGTCTTCGTGCATGGATATCAAGGACAGGGGGTCATGTCTCCTGATGGCCGCGTTGTGTTCCTTTATTCGTGTGTATAATTTCCTCCCAGTTTGTCCAACGTAGAGTTTGCTGCAGTTGTTGCAGTTGATTTGGTATTTCAACTGGTCCTGTCTTGGTTGTCCTTCTATATAGAGATTAATTTCCTTAGGGTGGCATCGCCACTTTAAGGAAATTAATCTCTAGACCAAAGGAAAACGGAGACAAAACCAAGAGGGACAATGTGATATACCAAATCAACTGCAATAACTGCAGTTAGGACCCTAATAGAAAACGAAAACAGTGGTCGCCTCAGTCCAGCCATACTTAACAAAATATCAAAAGCATGAGAATCATACACCGTCTCTTTCTTCGATACCGCAGCTACCTTGGTTGACTAACGTCCCTCAGTCCGACTATCTGTATCCTATGCCAATCTCGGTCTTTAGAATGAATCAAACTGCTACAGGGTGCTGTTATCTCACAAACGAAGAAGAAACAGAAGATGAAGAGGGTGTTTGACCTACTTTGACACTGCCTACAGGAAGGTTATGAAAGAGTTGGAAGAGTCAAGGTTTTGGGCTTTTGGATTCCCTCCCTTCAAGGCATGAAATGGAGCGCATTGTACATTTTTAAATAATGTGCGGTCGATCTCTGCCGGAAGTCGTTTTGTGTGTCCTTAGCTCCCAGTCACACTTGAGCAGTTATCCACGAGCAAGTGGGGTGTGATGAACTTGTTGATTCTGGCCACTGGTTTGAGTTGGTGTGAATGACGTCAAGCAAGCTGTTTCTTACATTGTTAAAACTCAGGTAACACCTGACTCTGATGAGTTTTCAGCAGCCCTATGAATAATATATTTTGTCAAGTAACTAGTTTACAATATCTCAAACACCGCACCAGTAAAATGCAATCAGTAAATGGATGTATTTCGGAAGCCATCCTTTGTCGGATGAACTTGGCCGAATTTTGGATTTTCTCCGTTAACGAAAAATAACACACGGTGAAAAATGGAGACTCCTTTACTTGACAAGTTTAACTTTGCCATGTGTATGGAATCCTGAAAAATGAGGCTAAGGAGAAATCAAACTAATCAGGAGCATGTTTCTTCCGTAGGATCTACGAAGGAATTCATCGACCATAGCTTTCATGCTTCTTACAAAGGCAAATTCCAAAACACCTATCTTGGCTCCCCAGGTTAAAACAGTCTGGGTGATTCCTAGTTCTCTTGACGATAGAATCTTGCTTGTGACAATCCCAAACGCCTTTAAAGGCCGCATTGCAATCGACAACAACTTCTGGGAAGAGTTCCACAAAACGAGCTTCAACGAGGTCAAATGAATGATACGGTGGGTTCAAGTTTGTATTCTCAATCAAAGCAGAAACGACCACTATACACTCAGAGTACGGTTGATGGCGTTTGGAGAGTGAATAAGGGATGAAAACCCATGGCTCCTCTGTGAGCAAGGGTATTTATCTGCTATCTTGAATTGTCAAAAGAGATCTTTCTCCCAACATATTCATTTGAATTCACGAGAGTTAGACTTGTTGAATAGGATTTCCTGGAATCTTGAATGAACAATCTACGTTGTGTAATGCCCCGTGTGTGACAGACCATAGGGGCTGGAAAGTATCTTTAAAAAGGGGCTATAGGTAGGTCAGACGAAGATGACTTTCTGGGAGTGAGAAACTTTTTTCTCCAGCATTGGTTTGCTTCTCCAGTTTGGGGGGTGAAAACAAACGAAAAAGACGTAAAAATGAGTGTACATTGAGACGCTGAATGCATTTTCTAGGCTTTTGTGTTCTCATCACTGTTGTCTGAACAGTCCTTTTGTTCTTGGTTAGTTGTTCCGGTTGGTCCACACCAAAGAGGTCTCTCGCTTAGTGCGTGACCCAGTAACTCATATGTATGCTGTCCAACAAAATGTCGGTCGTGAGCTCTCCAGGCTACTGAAAGTTTACCTGTGTGAACATGAAGGTACCTGACAACCATAAGGTCACAACGTGGCAGAGGGTTGCATTTAAATGCCATGCAGGCTAACAAAAGCTTACAAGCATACTTTTCAAAGAAAATCGGTTAGCCAGACCAAAAATAAACACACCTACGCTGTTTGTTGCTTCGAGCACCTGCAAACTTGTGAGATGTAGACGCAACGTGCATGAAACTTAGCATCTTTTAGTTGTCACCGGCTGCGAAATTTGTAGATTGCACGCCCACATCACTTTCGTTTGAACAGTCACCCTTCTGTCCTAGTGTAATCATTCTGGTGGGTCCACTCCAAAGTAGGAAGCATGGGTTTCATGTTCAACCCTTATTAGGGCTGATCAGTTTAAGTGAGTTGAAACATTGTCTTGCAATACGGCCATGCAAGTTCCATTACCATGAGCAAACTTAGAAACTTTCGCTCTGTTTTACCACGGTAACTTCGTGAACCGTTGAATTTTCCCACCCCAGCGTTCAGAATAAAAATAAGGTTTTTTTAGAACATACGTGTCTAGGTGAACTGCGTGATCACCTATGCGCTGAAATGAAAATATAGGCCTGGTAAAGAGTTGCAGCAGTTTACAGCGCAGGTTACGAAGTCGTAAACTTAAAACCAAATATGGCCCTAAGGTCCATTTTCAGTCTTTTTACAAATGAAATAAAGAATACGCTACTCGCATATCATACTGTGGAATACTTTAGAAAGTTGTTTGGATTATTCACAATCAGTTTCTATTTTGCAGTCACTTTCAGCACACCTTAGTTATTTCTTAAATTGCCCGGGTATGTTGAGTTGAGTTCGTACTAGTGAGAACCATCTTGACATACCGGTTTTCAAAATTCAGCATGATACCCCCATAATTTTACTGAACAAATTCACTGCGGACTTCAGACTCGCCTTCTTAATCTGGGTTGTGTTCACTTCGTACAGAGTGAAGGTTCTGCCTACTGAATATAGCTATGGCCATATGACTACTTTTCTCATCACTGGTTACTGACAGAGGACTTCGGGAATGTCGTTTTCAGTAAAATTTCCCATTGATTAAGGTAAGCAGGGAAAAAAGCCTTGACCAGATTGCACTTGTAAGACACATGCTCATTTCAGTCAGCTGAATAACCTAAAGCCCTTATCACCCACCACCAAACAGGGGCTAAAAAGCCAAAAGCACTCCCAGTTATGTTTTTTATGGTATGTTTATGACCTATCTATTTCTGAGTGCTCCACCGCTGAAATTATGCTACCGAAATCATGCTTAAGTTTGACCTTTGCCATTCACTAGCTCATGCAAAATTACAGACCGGTTTGAACGAATCTTTCGGATGTACAGTAGACCGCCCCTTTTTAGTGTTTCAAAATTGCAGAAAGTTTGTTGTTCTGTATACAGGGAAGGCAGAGTCGGGGCTGATGAGAAACTTGCGTCACTCACTCATCGTCCAGTTTGTTTGTCGTCGGTGACCTAATTATTTGGGATATATAGAGGCTGTCATATCTTGCAACCTAGGTAGTTGTCCCTTTTCAAACATTTCTGCTAATGCCTTCAGACTGATAGCTCAATTCTTCCCTCTGAACCTCACTTGTATGTGCGCTACTGCACTTAATGTTTCCCTGCAAATTTACTATTCTCTTGCCATACAACTTCGCCTCTTCAAAAAGGCACAGTGTGGCCGCGGGGGATCTCACAATAAGCCCAACAGTTTGTTAACGTTTTATCACTTTTGGTAACTTTATTCGGACAATCTAGTCAATCGACCAACATCCTTTCAACCCTACATCAATTCAGGGTATATCTATTCCACTCACGTTTTCCAGGCAAAGGCTTTTACTTGACACAGTTTTGAAAATACCTAATTTTTTTCTTTATATAGCGCGGCATCGTACACCTTGACTCACCGCGTGATTTTTTGCTGTCATACGTTCTAGTTCAGTTGGTTTTCTCTGGACGGTTGCTCCACTACTTTGACAAACTTTTGCGGATTTCTCATATCTGATACGGTTTTGCCCCAGAGGTTGCAATAAGTTGTACTTGATGCGACGTAGCTTGAAATGTTTCTTGATTTGGGAGCAGGATCATTCGTGGACAGTGATTCCCTACTCTTAACTAATCCAACCGGAAATCGACTTAAGGCTAACATACCTGTAACTTAATCGATAGATCGAAAGAGGCAAAATTCAACTGTTAAAACCTAGGACTATGGGGTTATTTTTCATAACTGATTCACTTCTGTACAAAGTTCTAGCTGGAGTAGTGAACATAACTTTACTTAGGCGTTTAAAGCACAGCCAACGATACAATGCTCTTTTTCGGCAATGGCCCTTTCAAGGGATAATCGAATCGCCAGTCCTGGAAAAGATGGCCGCTTCTTATATGGTTTGGTGCAGGAAGCAACTTATTATTGGGACTGCAAAAGCAGAAAACCGCCACGTATGACTGACCCTTGTAATGCTAAACGGCAGATAGATATTTTAGGAAAGTGATATATTATGTTTTTTAAAATAACACTGCTGCTACCTAAAGAGTCCTATTCGCTTCTGGTGCAACAGTATTTCCCAGAACCGATCTCTTGAAAAAAGAGCGCTTTGGTAACTTGAGGTGCAACCTCCTACCAAAAGCATTTTCAATCAACCCGTAACGGAATTAATTGTGTGAGTGGCTGATCTTTAAAGATACCTTCAATGAAGGGGTTTCTTAATTCACTCAGCTACAGCTAAGGAATTGACATCAACGTTTCTCTATCTGTGATGATGTGGGGAGTTTTGGGCCCTTTTCAGTAGAAATTTCATGCTGCCAGTGAATACTATTTGTGCTGAAGAGTAATGAAGTGCTGTACAACTATTTCACCCTTGTTGGGAATAATCGGCAGCGTGAATATCGCGAAGCTCAGATAGTTTTGAACCCGTGACATTTCAGCGGATGCCTGAATACCTAATTGGTTTGACCACGAGTGGCTGATCAACAATGTGATCAGCTGTGATCACTTTTACAGGAGGTAGCGCCACTCATCCTTCAATATCAGAAACCAAATCACCTGGTCACCTACTGACTGGCCGCTCTAGTGACCACTTCTCAGAAGGAATTTTCACATTTCCAGCTAATTTATTGTTCCTCTAAGCTGCTTACTGATTCATAATAATGGGAGGAGATCTGGTACTATTTATTATAGATTCTACCGTCAGTGCAGCCAACCCGTAATGAAAAGCCGAGAAGTACTGTGCAGTTGTCCCATCCTTGTCGGGAATCACCATCACTGCGCATCTTATGAAACTCAGAAGCCTGTTCATTTACTCGACCTCTGGTTTTTCTTTTGATTTCAGGGCGCTTCGAAAGCCCAAACTATCTCCTGTTCACATCACGTTTAAGGGAGGGCCCACTAGTTTGTTCTGTAGTCAACTGACAGTAAACAAAATGTACCTCACACCAATCGACCGAAACCGGAGTTCTGATCAGGGAACGAAATTACTTAATATACCGACCCCATCCACAGTGAAGATCGGATGTTCAAGCAATAAAGCTATTTCCGTATCTCTCATCCAAAGAAGCAAGGGTGTAACCTGTCGACTGTTTTCAACAAACAAAAAAACGGAAAAAGTTTTCTGATATCTTAGTCTACTCATTCGAGCAATGCTCGGATAAGCACTGAAAAAAGCTTTCCGGATGAGCAAATGCATCGGTTATGCATAAGTTATCGTGCCTATATAGGAATCATTTAAAGGGGGAATCCGAAAAATTGAGAAGTCGACTTTTAGATTAAACCTATCCGATGTGGTACTGATCACTCTCCACGGGTTGCGCTGACTTGGCCACGTGCCGCGTATGCCAGTCAACCGACTTCCTCGTAGGGTTCTTTTCGCCAACCACGTGAAGGATGAAAACGAGCCAGGGGAGGCCAAACAATAACAGCGAAGTATAAAATCTGGCTGCGCTGGCCATTGCCATCTTCCCGTATGGGGACCCTGAGACAGGGCACATCAATGGTTAGAGACATTGTGAAGAATGTCCAATTCGCGCCTTCGGTGGCGCTCGTGCATCCAAGCTACTGCCTTCGCTGAATAGTTCCCTTCAATTCTCCACTTCGTA